GAGAGACGAGAAGAGAGAGAATTTCACATAGCCTCCACCGTTCCTTTCATGAAATCCCTCCCTACCCCACTTACCAGACCCACCTCCCCACTCCCTCCTGCCCTAAAGCCCTTGAAGCTACGACACCTTTCCTTACACCTGCCCCCCCCCCGCCCCCACCCTCTCTCTTTTACCTCCTCCCAACCATCCCTCCCTCTCCCTCCCCCTCCCCAATCCTCCTTCCCTCGCTTCTGACTCCCTTCCTCCTTCCTCTAACCACCTTCCTCCCTCCTTCCTCTTCCGCTCTTCCCTCCCCCTTTTTTTTCCCCACCCCCCCCCTTCCTCCCTCCTCCCTCCCTTCCCTCCCCTCCCTCTCCTTCCTTCCCATCCCTCTCCCCTCCCTTTCCCCCCCTCCCTCCCCTCCCTCCCTCTTCTCCCTCCCCCTCCCCTTTCCTTCCTCCCCTCCCCCCTCCCCTCCTCCCCCCCCCTCCCTCTCCCTCCTCGCCCCCCCCCCGCCCCCCCGACCGCCTTCTTCCCTATCAGGTGGCCACGGCGTCGAAATACCAAGATGGCATCCCTTGTTAACTAGCTTGAGTGTTCGAAGGCACGTAGTTGCACTCGGGATAATGTCAAATACCAAATGACACTGGTGGTAGGTGTGGGGAGGGAGAGAGGGGGAGGGAAGGGAGGGGAGGTGGGGGGGAGAGGAGGGAGGAGGGAGGGAGAGGAGGAGGGAGGGAGAGAGGGAGAGGGTGGATGGAGGGAGGGAGGGGGTAGGAGGGAAGGGGGAGACGGAGAGAGGGAAGAAGGGATAGATAATATATATATAGATATAATAGAGAGAGAGATATAGAGAGAGAGAGAGAGAGGAGAGAGAGAGAGAGAGAGAGAGAGAGAGAGAGAGAGAGAGAGAGAGAGAGAGAGAGAGAGAGAGACAGACAGACAGACAGACAGAGACAGACAGAGAAACAAAGACCCAACCAAACAGCAGAGAAAATAAACCAAGCAAAACCAAAGCACACGCAAAAGCAACCGAAGAGAAGGGAATTGGAGGGAAGGGGAGGGAACAAAGGCAAGCCCAAGCCCAAGCGCGGGAGAAAGAGAGAGGGAGGGAGGGAGAGAGAGGGAGGCTAAACCACGCCATAGCATCACACCACCACGGGGCTCCACCTCGCCTCACGCTCCTCGCCTCACCACCTCGCCTCATCACTATCCTCACCACTCACACTTCGAGTCTGGTATTTGGTGGGACTTTGGGTGAAATAATTAGGGTTGACTAATTACTGCAGGGAGGGGAGGGGGAGGGGAGGGGAGGGGAAGGGGAGAAGGGGAAAGGGAGAGGGGGAAAGTCTGGTAGTTTGTGGGACTTTGGGTGAAATAATTAGGGTTGTCTGAATTACTGCAGTTGAGGAAATGCAAAGAGGAAAAAGAGATCACACACACTTGCGGGAGTGCACGTGTGTGCGTGTTTGAGCGCTTATATAAATTGTGCTTACATAAAGACACACATTTACATATACATGTGTGTATGTGTATGTATGTGCACACACACACGCACATGCACAAAAAACAAACAAACAAACACATACATACACACATAGACACACTCATTTGTACATTTGTGTGTGTGTATACATATATATGTATATATGTATACATATGCATATATATATATATATATATATATATATATATATATATATATATATATATATATATATGTATATATATATATATATATATAATATATATATATATATATATATATATATATATATATGTATATATATATATATATATATATATATATATTATATATATATATAATATATATATATATATATATATGTATATAGATACATGCATATACATATACATGTTTACATGTGTGCATATACAAATATGTGTGTGTGTGTGTGTGTGTGAGAGTTAGAGAGAGAGAGAGAGAGAGAGAGAGAGAGAGAGAGAGAGAGAGAGAGAGAGAGAGAGAGAGAGAGAGAGAGAGAGAGAGAGAGAGAGAGAGAGAGAGAGAGAGAGAAGACCCGGACAGAGAAAACGGATACATACACGACAAAGACAAAAATACCTCAGAGAGGGCGTCACGTGACCACACAACAGGATTCACAAGACACCGAGAAGAGATGAAACTAAAAAAAAAAAAAAAAAAAAAAGAACCAAAACATAAAAAGAGAACTAAAAACATAATGAGAAGAGATGAAAGAGGTCGTTGCGAAGAGAAGGTCGTCACGGAGAGCGAGGTCAAAGGTCGCGACCTCAAAGAAAACGGGAGATTACGTCAAAGAAATCGGCAGTGTCATTCCCCCGCGCAAGTGAGCCACAGGTTGGCTCTTGTGCTGCACAGGGTCAAGTGTTTCCCTTTTTTTTCTTCCTTTCGAGATGAAGGAGAAGGAGGGAAGGGGAGGGGGTGAGAAGGAAGGAGGTAGGGGGGGGGTGAGGAGAGAAGTGGGAGGGGGGAAGGAAGGAGAAGGAGATAGGGGTGAGGATGGAGAGGAATGGGTGA